TTAGTAAAGACGGGGCTTCACCGTGTTAGCCAGGATGGTCTCGATCTCCTGACCTCGTGATCCGCCCGCCTCCGCCTCCCAAAGTGCTGGGATTACGGGCGTGAGCCACCACGCCCAGCCGGAAATATGTTTATATATCCCTTTTTTCAGTTATTAGAAAATAGATTTGTAATAGGAGAAACCAAAATCAATTACATCATTTTAGAAGTTTGTTGTAGTAATCTAAGAGAGACAAGATGAAGGCCTAAACCAAAGAAGAGGTAATAAGAATGGAGGAAGGAATGGACTTGGTGGATATTAGGAGGTAATCTCAATGAGACTTGATGATTACGTAATGGCTGTGGCACACAAGAAGAAGGAGAGTCAAGGATGTTTCTTGGGGTTCTGTCTTGGAATATTCATTACAAATTGATTTCATTCACGGGGGCTGGGAATACAGATGCAAATTGTGTCAGTGAGAGGAATATAATGTGTTTGATCATGGATATATTGAATCTAATGTGAACTTATTCTTAACTTTTTGGCATTTGAAGTCTTGTTTCTCCCTGTATCAAATGGGAGTGGATAGGTATTTTGTATATTGCTTTTCTGTTCAGCAGATTGTATTTAGCTCACTTTTGGATTACTGTACATTTGTTATATAGTCCCAATTAATTTATGTATTATGACAACATGTAGATTTATTTTTCTTGCAACAATAAAGATGTTCAGGGGAAATATATAACAATAGATGAATAGATGCTACTAAAACTAGAGAATTCAAAATTCCTAAGAAGATGGGAGCTGTGAATAGTTGTCTTTTGTGCATCTTTAAGCAAAGATGCTATCTCATATTTATAATTATATAGCATGGAAGTATCTTGTATAAAATAACTATCATTAGGATATTTTCTCTTATTTTTAATGAGTCATGCATATAATAAGTTATTTTTATTTTCTATTTTTTTTCTAGTTGATCCTGATTTTCTAAAATCATTTTTATTAATCCATGAATCTTGTAAAGCATATGGTGCTACACCAAGCCGATATATGACCTTTTTACATGTGTATTCTGCCATTAGTAGCAGCAAGAAAAAGGAATTATTAAAAAGACAAAGTCATTTGCAGGTATAGTATTGGTAATCTTGAATTATTTTATCTATATATAGGAAACAAGAGTTTTGTAAATTGCAATATTATGTTGCGAGTGGCATATATCTGGTATTAATAAATGTACTGTATTAAAAGCCTTGGAAAACAGTCTCACTTTCGTACCTATGTTGCCCTCTAGGTTTTCGTAATGATTTGTATTTTTTTTTAATTCAATGGTTATTTCTTGTCTTCACTGGTTGGCATTTATGGGTTTTTGATAGCTTATGGTACTCTCTTTAAGAGTCTCTTTCACATGAAAACATTTTTAGAAATTAAGAAAACTGTTCTTCGGCATAAGAATGATACAATGGACTTTGGGGACTTGGGGGAAGAGTGAGGTGGGGAGGGATAAAAGGCAACAAATATGGTGCAGTGTATACTGCTCTGGTGATGGGTGCATCAGTATCTCACAATTCACCACTAAAGAACTTATGTAACCAAATGCCACCTGTACCCCAATAACTTACGGCAAAGTAAAATAAAATAATAATAAAAAAGAAAACCCTGTTATTAATTAAAACATAATATCCAAGATTATACTTTGTAATAACCTTTAAAATTAAAATTATATTTTATAAAGTAATGTTTTCATCCATGTCACTTAGTACATTCTGGACAGTTTTCTTTCTGTATTTCTCTAATTATAGAGCTTTAACTTAAATGTGACATTAGAATGTCAGCCTCCTGAAGTTGTTAGAGAACATTTCCTCTCTGAAATTCTAGTTTCCCTTTGTTAGGGTAATAAAGTAGGCTCCATCTTAATTGACATAATTATCTTTATCATTTCTACTGATTCACTTTCATTTATATTAAGGTACTAACTATACAGGCTTTTGGGAGGATTGATTTCCTGATTTAGTTCTCTATGGTACTTTGGATAAATTACTTTAACTTACTGTTTTGCAGCTTAATTGGGTCAATGGTAGTTGTATGTGAATATATTAGATAAAATTCATAAATTCATATGGAAATAACCTAGCTTATTACCTGTACTTTATGTTGGGTGCTCAATAAATATTAATTAGATTCCTTTTTTGCCGTTACTCTTTCCCCAAATCTTCTGATTTGTTAGGTGACAAAAACACGATAGAAGATAAAGAGTTTTTTTCATGTATATCCCTGGGTTCATTATTCTGTTGTTTGAATAGTAGGATGGGGTACCATCAATGGCCAGGCCAGGGTCAAATGCCCACCCAAAATGCAGGTAAGGCAAGTGAATGACAGCCCACCAGAACCATATGTCAGGCAGTCTCTTACAAGAAAAGTGAATATTAGATAAACAAAATCAGGTCATGTCTAGTATAAAAAAGAGTGACTTGAGTCCTTTTTCCCTGTCAGTGAGACTGAAATTAGAAAAGGTTTAGTGAGTTATTCCTTTCTTGCTATTTTCTCTCCCATCTAATGTAATGGTAAAAAGTATTTTTTATTAAGTTCAGTGTTTAAACTATCAAATATGTATTTATCTGTTTAGCTTTTCTGTGATGCTTTTTTTCAAGTCTTATGTATTTACTTTTTAAAATTTTATAGATATTGATAATTTTATTGATATTTATGGGGTACATGTGATATTTTGATTCATGCAAGAATGTGTAATGATCAAAGGGTGATTAGTGATGTGGAACAATTTTTCATATACTTGTTGGCCATTTGTGTGTCTTTTTAAAAAAAATCTATTCAGATCCTTTGCCTACTTTTTAATGGAATTCTTTGTTGTTGTTGTTGTTCAGTTGTTTGAATTTCTTGTATATTCTACATGTTAAGCCTCTTGTCAAATGAACAGTTTGCAAATATTTTCTCCAATTTAACAGGTTGTTTCTTCACTCTGTTAAATGTTTCCTTTGCTGTGAAGAAGCTTTTTACTTTAGTCTCATTTTTCTATTTTCATTTTTGTTGCCTATGCTTTTGAGATCTTAACCATAAAATTTTTGCCTAAACCAATATCCTGGAGCATTTCCTCAATGTTTTATTCTAGAAATTGTATAGTTCCAGGTCTTTTGTTTAAGTCTTTAATCCATTTTGAATTGATTTTTGTGTATGATGACAGAGGGAGGTCTAGTTTCATTCTTTTGCATATGGATATCCAATTTTCCCACCACCATTTAATGAATAGAGTGTCCTTTTCCTAATATATTTTCTCGTTCCTTTGTTGAAAATCTGTGGACTGTAAATACATGAATTTATTTCTGGGTTCTTTATTCTGTTCCATTGGTCTGTGTGCATGTTTTATATCAATACCATCCCATTTTGGTTACTGTAGCTTTGTAGTATATTTTGGAGTCAGGTAGTGCGATGCCTCTATCTTTGTTCTTTTTGCTCAGGATTGCTTTGGCTATTCAGGCTCTTTTGTGGTTCCAAACAAATTTTTTGATTTTTAAAAAAAAATTTATGTGAAGAATGTAATTAGTATTTTCATAGGTATTACATTGAATCAGTAGATCGCTTTGAGTAGTATGGCCATTTGAACAATACTAATACTTCTTTTTTTTTTTTTTTTTTTTTTTGAGGTGGAGTCTTGCTCTGTTGCCCAGGCTAGAGTGTAATAGTGCAATCTCGGCTCACTGCAGCCTCCAACTCCTGGGTTCAAGTGACTCTTGTGCCTCAGCCTCCTGAGTAGTGGGGATACAGGCAGCTGCCACCCTGTCTGGCTAATTTTTTATTTTCAGTAGAGATGGGGTTTCATTATTTTGGCCAGGCTGGTCTGGAACTCCTGACCTCAAGTGATCCACCCACCTCAGCCTCCCAAAGTGCTGAGATTACAGGCATGAACCACTGCACCCAGCCACAACAATGTTAATACTTCTGATCCATAAGCATGAGATATCTTTCCCTTTTTTTTTTGGTATCTTCAATTTCTTTCATCCGCGTGCTGTAGAGGTCTTTCATCTCCTTGGTTAACTTTATTCCTAGGTATTTTTTTTTTTTTTTTTGTAGCTGCTGTAAATAGGATTGCCTTCTTAATTTCTTTTTCAGTGAGTTTGTTATTGAAGTCTAGAAACATTACTGATTTTTCTGTGTTGATTTTGTATCCTGCAGCTTTACTGAATTTGCTTATTACTTCTAAGAGTTTTTTTGGTGGAATCTTTAGGGTTTTCTAGACATGAAATCATGCTAATCTATAAAGAGGGACAATTTGACTTCCTCTTTTTCAGTTTGGATGTCTTTTGTTTCTTTCTCTTGCCTGATTGCTGTGGCTTGGACTTCTGGTACTCTGTTGAATAGGAGTGGTGAAAGTGGGCATCCTAGTCTTGTTCAGTTCTTAGAAAAGGCTTCCAGCTTTTCCCCATTCAGTGTGATGTGAGCAGAGGGTTTGTCTTTATTATGTTGAGGTATGTTCTTCCAATGCCTAATTTTTTGAGAGTTCTTGCCTTGAAGGTATGTTGAATTTTATCAAGTGTGTTTTCTGTGACTATTTTGATGAATATCTGGTTTTTGTCCTTTGTTGTGCTGATGTGATATATTATGTTAGCTGATTTGCATATGTTGAACCATTCTCTGTGATGCTTTAAAATTTGTTTTTCTTTAAAACCTCTGTGGGATCTTTTACTACATCTTAATGAGTATTATATGAAATAAATTGTTATAATTAGCAATAAGAAAAAATCTAAGTCTACTTGCTACTGTTTTGTATATACACACTTAACATGTTTGCTTGATTCTTTTCTATAGGGCTTTATTTACTGTGTGTATGTAAAATTCTTTTTTTAAAATATTACCAATCAATATTTTATTGATGTAGGCTGGTGTATCTAAACTAAATGAAGCTAAAGCTCTTGTGGATGAACTGAACAGAAAAGCTGGAGAACAAAGTGTATTACTTAAAACTAAGCAAGATGAAGCAGATGCTGCCCTTCAAATGATCACAGTGTCAATGCAGGTAATGTTTGGAGTGATCACAAAAATGAAAACAATAGGGAGAGCATTTATGACTGACTGTCAGTGAAAAATCACATTTTCACTTAGGTGGATTTAAAAAACATTGCTTTTTCATACTGAGTCAGACTGATGTTATGTACTTAAGCTTTTGTGGAAGGGCATGGTATTTTCCCACATTGTTTAGAATGATTACTCAGTGCATTCAGTTGACCATATGCAACTTATGTAGTCTCTTTTTATATTTTAAATTGGCATGGATCTGTCTGTAACTGATTTTATTTCTTATACTCTCCCGGTTAGGTTGGTATTTCCTTTTATTTTTCTTAGAATTCTCTCCTTCAGGCTTTGAGAGTTTTCCTTGCTTTTAATTTTCTGAAGATTTATGGAATGTTTTTCTTCTTTCAGTACTTTCATGATGTTTTGCATTTTGAGTATATATTTTTTGAGCTGTTGCCTTTGTTTTGTTGAACCCCTTCAAAGAAGATTTCTCTGAGTTCCTTCCTTGCCCCAGTATTTTATGTCTCCATCCTCTTTCAGGATGCTCTTGTTCATTTTATTGCTCTTACTACCAACTGCATGTAACTGTTTTCAAATTCATCTTTTTTATTCTTTATCCTAACTCCTTTTATTAGCTTCAGACTTACTCAATTACTGGCAGGGCATGGTTGCTCACGCCTGTAATCCTAGCTCTTTGGGAGGCCGAGTGGGAAGATCGCTTGAGCCCATGAGTTTGAGACCAGCCTGGGCAATATAGTGAGACCTTATCTCTACAAAAAAATTAAAAATTAGCCAAATGTGGTAGCATGTGCCTGTAGTCCCAGCTACCGAGGAGGCTGAGGTAGGAGGATTGCTTGAGTTTAAGAGACAGAGGTTTCAATGAGCTGAAATCATGCCACTGCTCTCCAGCCTGGGTAACAGAGCAAGACTCTCAAACAAACAAAAAAAAAATTCAGTTTTATCTGTTAAACATGTCTTTTTAGAAGTCTCTTGGGCATTACAATTTGAAACAGATTCAAAATTGAACTTACGAGTTTTCTTTCCTGTATTTCTTTCCTCAGGTTATGGTAGTATAATATACACTAATTATTTAAGACAGAACTTAAAAATCACATTGTACTGAGACTTTTGTTACCTTATCCATTAATGTAATGAGTCATTAAATTCTGTCAATTTTGCTTTCCTGACTATGCCTCAAATATGTTTCTCCATCTCCATGTTGGTGACTGTTATCTTGTCAAATAGGGACTAGTCTAATGCCTCTTTTAAGAAAATTAACTTTAATATTCATCAGACTAATATATATCTCAATTAAAAAATAAATGACATGAACAATCTTAAAAATAAAAAAGTTGTGGGACTTAGGATTTCAAGACTGACTTTTCAGTAATCATTTTAAGGCAGTGTGATATTAGTGTAGGCATAGAGATCATTGGAATGTGGTCAGTTGATTTTAGACAAAAATGCCAATTAAATGGGGAAAGATAGTCTTTTTAAAAAATAGTGCTGGATATTTGGATGTCCAAGTAGAGAGAGAAAAAGCCCAGAACCTTTCCCTTTTAACTTACACAAAAATTTACACAGTATGGATGATGGATCTAAGATTAGAACATTAAATTATAAAACTTAGAAGAAAACACAGGAGAACATCTTTATGACCTTGGGTGAGATAAAGACTTATTAGATGTGATATCAAAATAGAAAAAGAAAATTGATAAGTTGGATTTCATCAAAATGAAAACTTCTGCTCTTTGAAATGAAATAAATGAAATAAGTTCTGAAATGAAAAGGCAAGTCACAGACTGAGAGAAAATATTTACAAAACATGTATTTGATAAAGAACTTCTATTCAGAATTTTTAAAAAGTACTACAACTCAATAATAGTAAAACGGAACTCCAGTTTAACAATGAACGAAAGATTAGAGCAGACCATTTATGAAAGAAGATCTATAAACGACCAGTAAACACATGAAAAGATGTTAATTTCATTATCATCGAGTAAATGTAAGCTACAGTCCCAGTGATATGCTTCTACATATCCACTAGAATGGGTGAAATAAAAAGACTGGAAATACCTCAGTCTAGTGTGGCGAGGCGGGGTGGAGCATCTGGAACTCTTTATAATTGCTGGAGGAAATGAAAAATGCTACAGTTACTTTTCAAAAGTTTGGCACAGTCTCATAAAGTTAAATATATCTTAGTACATCAGCCAGCAGTCCCACTTTCAGATTTTTAGCTAAGAGAAATCAAAACTTGATAAATCTTAGAAACGTTACACTTAAGTGAAAACAGCCAGACACAAAAGACTGTATACTATATGATTCCTTTGTGAGAAATTATAGAAGCAGCCAATCTATGATAGAAATCAAATTAGTGAGTACCTGACCTGGTAAGTAATACATCAGAAAATGTACATATAATAATTTTTATACTGTAAAACTTTAGCATAATTTTTTTCTCAAGGTATTTTGGAACAAAATTAATATAAATATTTACTTAATGAAATCAGCCATTTTTATCGTTAAAAAAACTGTCAATTATTTTGACCTTAAAAGAGTTATTTGAAATGTGAAAAATCAAACACTACATAAAGGATAACATGGTTAATTACCATGTATTTATAAAGGAAAATATTCGGCATTATGTGTGCTTTGTGTACTCTCTGGCTAGTGACATTAGTAATACACACTGAGTATGTGCTACTTTTTTCTCTGTGCTGTTCTGAGAAGCAATATTTCTAAGACTGTAGCTAATTTTATTATCCAGCAGAGACCCAGGAGAATAACTATGCATCTCATAAGTTAATAATTTTGCTTAATTATAAATAGCAGATATTTCTGTTTGGTATTTTGTAGAAAGTACTGTCTGAAGAGATAGCTTAAATACCAAATTGTGTAACTTCTAAGGCTTGCAATTCTAGGTTTATGGCATGAAGAAAGTGCAAATTAAATGCTATACAAACTCAGAATAGAGATACCTTCCAATTGGATCAGGAGGTTAATAAAAGAAGGAATTTATGAGCTGTGCCTGGGCTGTTTAAGTGTTCAATACATTTTATTATGATTATTTAGGAAACTATGCATTTCAAGATCTGGGCATGGCAATACATGCTTTTAATGTCAGCTACTTGGGAAGCTGAAGTGCAGGGGAACCCTTGAGTCCGGGGAGCCTAATCAACGTAGTGAGACCCTGTCTCAAAAAGAAAAAAAAAAGGAAGGAAAAAAACTCACAATGACAAATATATACAAAGATGTTCAACCTCATCAATAATCAAGGAAATACAAATTAAAAGCATACTTTGAAAGTTATGCATTTCTGCTGGGCTCAGTGGCTCATGTCTGTAATCCCAGCACTTTGGGAGGCCGAAGCAGGTGGATCACAAGGTCAGGAGTTCGAGATCAGCCTGGCCAACACGGCGAAACCTGATCTCTACTAAAAATACAAAAATTAGCTGGGCATGGTGGTGGGCATCTGTAATCCCAGCTACTTGGGAGGCTGAGGTAGGAAAATCACTTGAACCCAGGAGGTGGAGGTTGCAGTGAGCTGAGACATGCCATTGCACTCCAGCCTGGACGACAAGAGCGAGACTCTGTCTCAAAGTAAATAAAAATAAAAATTAAAAAAAAGAAAATTATGTATTTCTATCTTCTTTAAATTTTATGTAAAAAGCATTTATTGCTTTGCTAAGTAGAAAAAATTAAAGCACTGAAACCTTTCTGATAGAAAATATGGAGTAAAATATATAATTGGTTTCCCAGGCATTTTGGAAACTCTCTTGTCATAGATTCAAAACTAATATTGGGTAAACATTTAATAGAAAATGTTATTTTGAAATGTTATATTTTAGATTTCGTGCTTTTAAATATCATGCATTAAAATTGATTGGAATGCCACTTAAATATTCTTATAGGATGCTAGCGAGCAAAAAACAGAACTTGAAAGACTGAAGCACAGAATAGCAGAAGAAGTTGTTAAAATTGAAGAAAGAAAAAATAAAATTGATGATGAATTAAAAGAAGTACAAGTAAGTTAAAAAACATGCTAAGATCCATTTACATTTTTGCTTACCAGCTATATGTAGGAATTTAAACATTATTTGTATCTCAAGTTGTTTTCTCATAGTATTATAAAATGTGGTTTTCAACCAAAATATTACTTGTAAAAGAGCACAAGAAGGAAAGCCTGCCAGAAAAAGTATAAATTAATGGATGATAATTTAAAAGAATCTTTGTTTTCCATGAGCCATATGGTTTTGATTGTAGAGGGAAAAAATATGTTAGATAAATTAAGATATACTGTTAAGCTCTTTTTCTCCAGTTGATTAAATTAGTCAGCTAGTCCTAAGATATAAAGAGCGTCTTGAAAATGACAAATTGTCTCAAAACAAGTTAGATTTTCCAAATTAGATTGTTGCAGTTGTGGTGGCAAGAAGTCTTACTGTCTCAACTTGAACGTTTTTTACTCCTTGTATGATTTAAAGCATTTTGTTATTTTAAGAGAGAGGACATTAGTAACTATAGTCATTTTGCATAAATGCAAAAGATAATAAAAGATAATTTGTCAAGAGTTAGTGATTTAAAAAATATAGAATTTGAAAATAAAAATTGCCTTTTTCTCTTTTAGCCTTTAGTCAATGAAGCTAAACTAGCAGTTGGAAACATTAAGCCAGAGTCACTTTCAGAAATCCGCTCACTACGCATGCCACCTGATGTAATTAGAGACATTCTTGAAGGAGTTTTAAGGTTGATGGGTATCTTTGATACATCTTGGGTGAGCATGAAAAGGTAAATTTTTCAATTTGTGAAAAATATTATTTCAGCAATGAATGACACATTCTTTCATAGTTTTAAATATTTCTTATATTGTTTTTCAAAGTGCACTTCATCTAAATACATGGGTATTCATTTTGCCTTGAAATTTCAAGGTATTCTATGTAATCATATATCAGGATCTATATATTCCTTTCTCTAAGTGGTTGTTAAAAGTGTCAGAAGAAAAGGAATACCTTAGAATCTTTAAGAAATTTCTCAATAAATATAATAATGTATTTGGTCCATACACAGTAGAGAGGACTGTGATTTCACTGTGATTTACTGATGAAGAAAATACAACCACTATCCTTAAGAGTCTTGTATTACTGAGAGAGGGAAAGAGACAGAGACAGAAACAGAAAGAAGGAGACCCTTAAATAATAGAAGGGAGCTGGAAACTAGAAGAGAATAAGGTATTAACACAATATGAAGCCATGCAGGCTCAGGTTTCATGTTATAATAGTGGTGTTATGGTTTGTGCCGATATTAAGTTCCTTGTTAGTATTTAGGTTGATAGTAAAGAGTTCATTTTATATCTGGAGATGGAGGAGGACATAGGTTGAGAGAGTACTTTAAGTTACCTTAAAAGGAGTCAGACAATTTTCTTGCACATCCTAGAACATATGAGTACCTCATAGTTTACAAATAAGGATTTGAGTAGAACAAGATGTGATTCTTTCATATCATTTCTTAGTTTATTCACAGAACATTAGAAAGACTGCTGTACATCTCTCTAGAGTTTTTGTTGTCTACAAAAAGTCAATAATATGGCTGGGCACACCTGCAATCCCAGCACTTTGGGAGGCAAAGGCACTTTAGGCCAGGAGTTTGAGACCAGCCTGGGCAACATGGTGAAACCCGATCTCTAATAAAAATACAAAAAATTAGCCAGATGTGGTGGCACACACCTGTGGTCCCAGCTACTCAGGAGGCTGAGGTGGGAGGATCGCTTGAACCCAGGAGGTGAAGGTTGCAGTGAGCTGAGATTGTACCACGGCACTCCAGCCTAGGTGACAGAGTGAGACTCTGTCTCAAAACAAACACAAAAAGTAAGGATAATACATTAGAAGCTTAAAGGTTTTAGTACCGTATTTTTTGTTAACTAATGGATTAAAAGTATTGCATTCACCATTTTGTTAAACTGATTTTTTTTCAGAAACAGCAAATTTTGTTTAGTCTCATTTAAGGAAATATGCTTTAATTTTAGTTTCCTTGCAAAAAGAGGTGTAAGAGAAGACATAGCAACCTTTGATGCCCGAAATATTTCAAAGGAAATAAGAGAGAGTGTTGAAGAACTTCTTTATAAAAATAAAGGATCTTTTGATCCAAAGGTAATTTTTAAGTTATATCATAAATTTGCTTTTCCATACCATATAATATTCTGCTGTTTAAAATGTGATGTTTTGTCATTGCCAATTGTTTAGCTCACTTAAAAGTGAAAATCAAAAATAAGCTTATAGGTATTACATCTGGGAAGCATTAACCATCAGAATCAGGTAAATTAGAATCTAGGTAGCAGGGGAGATTTATTGAGTGGTTTTAATAGTTTTGTATCTGCTGTTGAAAGTTAAAAAAAAAAACTTTTTTTTTAACTTTCAACTGTCCTGGTGTGCTTTTATTTTTTCTTGTGTCACTTGTCAGATGACAACAGGTATCTGTGTTAGGACAGTGGTATCTAATTTCAGTGAACAATTTAGATTTCATGATTCTGGTATTTTTTTAGATCCCTTAATCAAAATGTTATGTACATCTTCTTTAATACCAATTACAATGGTTTTAAAGCTGCTCTTATCTAATAAAGATACTCGAACATTGTTGTGGCTGACACATGTATTCATTAGAAATGTGACTAATAGAAAATTATGTTGATAAAACATCTTTATTTTAAAGATTCTGTGTGGTTCAAAAATTTATTTTTAAGTGAAAATAGAGTTCATGTATATTTCTCTTAATCAAAATAGAAGTTCACTGTATTTTTGTTTTAGCTATAAGCCAAAAACTTCTTTATTTGGGTCAAGTTAATAAATGTCCAAATAAAGTGTGTTAGAATTAACTTTGCTTTCATCTGAAATTAAGTAAGGATGTTGAATCACTTCTCATGGATTTTTCAGAACGCTAAGCGTGCCAGTACTGCAGCTGCACCTTTGGCTGCCTGGGTGAAAGCCAATATCCAGTATTCCCATGTCTTGGAACGAATTCAGCCTTTGGAAACTGAACAGGCAGGATTAGAATCGTAAGTGAAATATAAAATATAAACAATTCTAACCTTTATTTTCATCAGTTTGATGAGGTTTTAATATTATTTTTTATTTTTTCTCTATTTGTAAAATGGCAGTTGACAATACTAAAATATATAAAATGAGTCAATTAAATGTAAATTTAAAAACAGATCAAAACAAGAAAGCAGTTAGAAGGAGATAGCAGAACCAACTCACTTTTTCTTTACCATTATTATATTGTTGGAAGCCTAGGTAGGTAAAAGTTCCTTTAGAAGGAGCCGAAGTTTCATAAAGGAATAATTTTTTTTTTTTTTTTTTTTTTGAGACTGATTTTGCTCTTGTTGCCCAGGCTGGAGTGCTATGGTGTGATATCGGCTCACCGAAACCTCTGCCTTCTGGGTTCAAGCGATTCTCCTGTCTCAGCCTCCTGAGTAGCTGGGATTACATGCATGTGCCACCACGCCTGGTTAATTTTGTATTTTTAGTAGAGATGGGGTTTCTCCATGTGGATCAGGCTGGTCTTGAACTCCCGACCTCAGGTGATTCGCCTGCCTCGGCCTCCCAAGATGCTGGGATTACAGGTGTGGACTACCACGCCTGGCCAAGGAATAATGTTAAAGTACAAAAGGAAAGCTTTGGAAATTAAAGACTTTTATTTTTATTTATTTATTTATATATATATTTATTTATTTATTGAGATGGAGTCTTGCTCTATTGCCAGGCTGGAGTGCAGTGGCGCAATCTCAGCTCACTTCAGCCTCTGCCTGCTGGGTTCAAGTGATTCCCCTGCTTCAGCCTCCCAAGCAGCTGGGGTTACAGGCACGTACCACTACACCTGGCTAATTTTTTGCATTTTAGTAGAGAAAGGGTTTCACCATGTTGACCAAGATGGTCTCCATCTCCTGACCTCATGATCTGCCCAACTCCACCTCCCAAAGTGCTTGGATTACAGGCATGAGCCACTGCGCCTGGCTGGAAATTTAAGGCTTTTATGTTTGTTTTTGCCTTCTAAGTTCTAGGAAATGTTTAGCATATATTTTCCAAAACAGTGTGTGGACAGGAAGGAGGAAGATTTAACCACTTATTATTGGAGCTTACAGTTCTAATTTGCTATCATTACTAAGTCACAAATATATTTTATCTCTTTTGTTCTAAATGCAGACCAAAGGTTTATGTTCTTTTCTTTTAAAAAATTTTATTTCAGTAGGTTTTTGGGGAACAGGTGGTGTTTGGTTACATGAATGAGATCTTTAGTGGTGATTTCTGAGATTTTGGTGCAGCAATCATCTGAGCAGTGTTACACTATACCCAATGTGTAGTCTTTTATCTCTTGCCACCTCCCGCCCTTTCCCCCGAGTCTCCAAAGTCCAATGCCTCATTTTCATGCCATTGCATCCTTATAGCTTAGCTCCTACATGAATGAGAATGTACGATGTTTGGTTTTCCATTCCTGAGATACTTTACTTAGAATATGATTCTCCAATGCAATCCAGGTTGTTGCAAATGCCATTATTTTGTTTCTTTTTGTGACTGAGTAGTATTCCGTGGTATATATATATACTACATTCTCTTTATCCACTCACTGAATGATAGGCATTGGGTTGGTTCTGTCTTTTTGCCATTGCAATTTGTGCTGCTACAAACATGCGTGTGCAAGTATCTTTTCCATATAATGCCTTCTTTTCCTCTGGGTAGATACCTAGTAGTAGAATTGCTGGATCAAACAGTAGATCTGCTTTTAGTTCTTTAAGGAATCTCCACACTGTTTTCCATAGTGGTTGTACTAGTTTATATTCCTACCAACAGTGTAAAAGTGTTCCCTTTTCACTGCATCCCTGCCAACATCTATTATTTTTTGATTTTTTGATTATGACCATTCTTGCAAGAGTGAGGTGGTATTGGATTGTGGTTTTGATTTGCATTTCTGTGATAATTAATGATGTTGAGCATTTTTCCATATGCTTATTGGCCATTTGTATATCTTCTTTTGAGAATTGTCTATTCATGTTCTTAGCCTACTTTTTGATGGGGTTGTTTGTTTTTTTCTTGCTGATTTGTTTAAGTTTGTCATGGATTCTGGATATTAGTCCTTTGTCAGATGTATAGATTGTGAAAATTTTCTCCCACTCTATGGGTTGTCTTTTAACTCTGCCAATTGTTTCTTTTGCTGTGCAGAAGGATTTTAGTTTATTTAAGTCCCATCTGTTTATCTTTGTATTTCTTGCATTTGCTTTTGGGTTCTTGGTCATGAAGTCTTTGCCTAAGCCAATGTCTATAAGGGTATTACTGATGTTATCTTCTAGAATGGTTATGGTTTTCAGGTCTTAGATTTAAGTCTATGATCCATCTTGAGTTGATTTTTTTGTATAGGATGAGAGACGAGGATCCAGTTTCATTCTTCTACATGGGGCTTTCTAATTACCCCAGCACCATTGGTTGAATAGGGCATCCTTTCCCCACTGTATGTTTTTGTTTGCTTTGTGGAAGATCAGTTGGCTGTAAGTATTTGGGTTTATTTCTGGCTTTTCTATTCTGTTCCATTGGTCTATGTGCCTATTTTTATACCAGTGCAATGCTATTTTGGCGACTGTGGCCTTATAGTATAGTTTGAGGTTGGGTAATGTGATGCCTCCAGATTTATTTGTTTGTTTGTTTGCTTACTCTTGCTTTGGCTATGCAGGTTCTTTTTTCGTTCCATATGAATATTAGGATTGTTTTTTCTACTTCTGTGAAGAATGATGGTGGTATTATGATGGGAATCACACTGAGTTTGTAAATTGCTTTCGGCAGTATGGTCATTTTCACAATATTGATTCTACCTATCTGTGAGCATGGGATATGTTTCCATTTGTTTGTATCATTTGTTTGTGACCATATCAGCTTGGTTAGGTATATTCCTAAGTTGTTTTTTTTTTTTTTTTGCAGCTACTGTAAAAGGAACTGAGTTCTTGATTTGATTTTCAGCATGGTTGCAGCTGGTGTATAGCAGAGCTGCTGATTTGTGTACATGAATTTTATGTTCTGAAGCTTTGCTGAATTCATTTACGAGTTCTAGGAGCTTTTTGGATGAGTCTTTAGAGTTTTCTAGGTGTATAATGGTATCATCAGCAAACTGGCAGTTTAGCTTCCTCTTTACCAATTTGGATGCCCTTTATTTCTTTCACCTGTCTGATTGTTCTGGCTAGAACGTTTAGTGCTATGTAGAATAGAACTGATAAAAGTGGGCATCCTTGTCTCTTGTTCCAGTTCTCACGGAGAATGCATTCCACTTTTCCCCATTCAGTATAATGTTGGCTGTGGGTTTGTCATAGATGACTTTTATTACCTTAAGATATGTCCCTTCTGTGCCAATTTTGCTGAGGATTTTAATCATAAAGGGACACTGGATTTTGTTAAATGCTTTTTCTGTGTCTATTGAGATGATTATGTGATATGTGTTTTTAATTCTGTTTATGTGGTGTATCACATTTATTGACTTAACGTATGTTATACCTGCATGCCTCGTATGAAACCCATTTGATCATGGTGGATTATCTTTTTGATATGTTATTGGATTTGGTTCACTAGTATTTTGTTGAGGATTTTTGCATCTGTGTTCATCAGGAATATTGGTCTATAGTTTTCTTTTTTAGTTATCTCCTTTCCTGGTTCTGGTATTAGGGTGATACTGGCTTCATAGATTGATTTAGGGAGGATTCCCAACCTTCTCTATATTTTTGAATAGTGTCAATAGGATTGGTACCAATTCTTCTTTGAATGTCTTATAGAATTAAGCTGTGAATCCATCAGTTTTAAAATTACCATTTCAATTCTGCTGCTTGTTATTGGTCTGTTCAACGGTTCTATATCTTCCTGGTTTAATCTAGGTGGGTTGTATATTTCCAGAAATTTATCCATCTCCTTTGGGTTTTCTAGTTTATGTGCATAAAGGTGTTCGTAGTAGCCTTGAATAATCTTTTTTATCTCTGTGGTGTCAGTTGTAATATCTCCCATTTCTCTCTAATTAAGCTAATTTGTAACTTCTCTCTTTTTTTCTTGGTTAATCTTGCAAATGGTCTATCAATTTTGTTTTTTCAAAGAACCAACTTTTTGTTTCATTTATCTTTTGTATTTTTTTTTGTTTGTTTCAATTTCATTTAGTTCTGCTCTAATCTTTGTTATTTGTTTTTTTCTGCTGGATTTGGGTTTGGATTGTTCTTGTTTCTTCAGTTCCATGAGGTGTGACCTTAGATTGTCTATTTATACTCTTTCATACTTTTTGATATAGGCATTTAATGCTCTGAGATTTCCTCTTAACACCACCTTTGTTGTATTCTAGAGGTTTTGATAGGTTGTATGAATTACTATTATTATTCAGTTCAAACAATTTTTCAATTTCCATTTTGATTTCATTGTTGACCCAACAGTCATTCAGGAGCAGGTTATTTAATTTCCACATATTTGCATTGCTTTGAAGGTCCTTTTTGGACTTGATTTTCAGTTTTATTCCACAGTGGTCTGAGAGGGTACTTGATATAATTTAGATTTTCTTAAATGTACTGAGACTTGTTTTGTAGCCTGTCATATGGTCTATCTTGGAGAATGTTCCATGTGCTGATGAATAGAATGTATATTCTGCTGTCATTGGCTAGAATGCTCTGTAAATATCTGTGAAGTCCATTTGTTTTAGGGTATAGTTTAAGTCCGTTATTTCTTTGTTGACTTTCTGTCTTGATGACTTGTCTAGTGCTGTCAGTGGAGTATTAAAGTTTCTCACTATTATTGTGTTGATGTTTATCTCATTTCTTAGGTCTAGTAGTAATTGTTTAATAAATTTGGGAGTTCCATTGTTAGGTGCTTATATGTTTAGGATTGTGATATTTTCCTGTTGGACTAGTCCTTTTATCATTACATAATGTCCCTCTTTGTCTTTTTTAATTGCTGGTGCTTTAACGTTTGTTATGTCTGATATAAGAATAGCTACTCTTGCTTACTTTTGGTGTCCATTTGCATGGAATATCTTTTTCCACCCCTTTACCTTAAGTTTATGTGAGTCCTTATTTTGTCAGGTGAGTCTCTGTTAGACAGCAGAAACTCGACTGGTGAATTCTTACCAATTCTGCCACTGTGTATTTTTTAAGTGGAGCATTTACGCCATTTACATTCAATGTTAGTATTGAGATGAGAGGTACTATTCTATTCAGCATGCTATTTGTTGCCTGAATACCCTTTTTTTTTTCCATTGTGTTATTGTTTTTTTTTGAGACTGGGTCTCACTCTGCCCAGGCTGGAGTGCAGTGGCACAATCTCACCTCACTACAACCTCTGCCTCCTGGATTCAAGGGATTCTCTTGCCTCCTGAGTAGCTGGGATTACAGGTGCCTGCCATCACACCCAGCTAATTTTTGTAGTTTTAGTAGAAATGGGGTTATGCCATGTTGGCCATGTTGGTCTCAAACTCTCAATCTCAAGTAATCGACCCGCCTTGGCCTCCAAAAGTCCTGGGATTACAGGCATGAGCCACCATGCCCGGCCATTGTGTTATTGTTATATAGGTCCTGTGAAACTTATGCTTTAAGGAGGTTCTATTTTAGTGTATTTTGAGGATTTGTTTCATGATTTAGAGCTCCTTTTAGCAGTTCTTGTTGTGCTGGCTTGGTAGTGGTGAATTCTCTCAGCATTTGTTTGTTTGGAAAAGACTATGTCTTTCCTTCATTTATGAAGTTTAGTTTCTCTGGATACAAAATTCTTGGCTGGTAATTTTTTGTTTAAGGAGGCTAAAAATAGGACCCCAGTCCCTTTGGCTTGTAGGGTTTCTGTTAAGAAATCTGCTGTTACTGTGATAGTTTTTCCTTTATAGGTTACCTGATGCTTTTGCCTCACAGCTGTAAGATCTTTCCTTTGTCTTGACTTCAGATAACCTGATGACTGTATGCCTATGTGATAATCTTTTTACAATGAATTTCTTAGGCGTTCTTCAAACTTCTTTTATTTGGATGTCTAGATCTCTAGCAAGGCCGGGGAAGTTTTTCCCAATTATTCCTCAAGTACGTTTTTAGATTTCTCTTTTAGATTTCTCTTCTTTCTTGGGAACACCCATTATTCTTAGGTTTGGACACTCAACATAGTTACAAAATTCTTGGAAGCTTTGTTCATTTTTTAAAATTATTTTTTCTTTGTCTTTGATGATCGAGTTAATTAAAAAGCCTTGTCTTCAATCTCTGAAGCTCTTTCTTCTGCTTGAGTCTATTGCTGAGACTTAGTACATTTTGGATTTCTCTAAGTATATCCTTGATTTCCAGAAGTTGTGATTGTTTTTTGTTTATGCTATCTATTTCACCGAAGAATTTTCCTTTCATAACCTGTATCATGTTTTTGATTTCTTTAAGTTGGACTTCATCTTTCTCTGGTACCTCTTTGATGAGCTTAATAATCAACCTCCTGAATTCTTTTTCTGGCAATTCAGAGATTTCTTCTTGGTTTGGATCCATTGCTGATGAGCTGGTATAATATTTTGGGGGTGTTAAAGAACCTTGTTTTGTCATATTACCAGAATTGTTTTTCTGGTTCCTTCTCATTTGAGTAGACTATATCAGAGGGAAGATCTGGGATTCAAGGGCAGCTGGTCAGGTTCTTTGTCTCACAGAGCGCTCCCTTGCTGTGGTGGTCTTTCTCTTCCCCTAGGAACGGGTATTTCTGAGATCTGAACTGTAGTGATTGTTTTTGCTCTTCTGGGTCTAGCTACCCAGCAGAGCTACCAGGCTCTGGGCTGGTGTTGGGGAGTGTCTGCACAGAGTCCTGTGATGTGATCTGTCTTCAGGTCTCTTAGCCGTGGATACCAGCACCTGCTCCACTGGAGGTAGCAGGGGAATGAGGTGAACTCTGTGATGGTCCTTGGTTTTGTTTTTGTTTAGTGGATTGGTTTTGTGTTGATGGGCCTCCAGGCAGGAGGTGGCACTTTCAAGAGTGCCTCAGCTGTGGTCCTATAGGGAGGATGCAAACTTGCCCTAGGGACACCTGGTTAACAATTCAGGTTTCTCAGGCAGTAGGCAGGGCCTTAGAGCTTTCAAGAAATTATGACCTTTGTCTTTGGCTACCAGGGCAGGTAAAGAAAGACCACCTGGTGGGGGCAGGGATAGGTGTGTCTGAGCTCAGCCTCTGCTTTGGTGAGGCTTTTGCTGTGGCTGCTGTGGGGGATGGGAGTGTGGTTTCCATTCCAATGTAATTTTCTCCCCAGGTGGATTATGGCTGCCTCTGCTGAGTCATACAGGTCACCCAGGGTAGTTGAGGAAAGCCAGCAGGCACAGGCCTCACTGGCTTTCTATGTAGCCTGCAGTCCTAAAGGCTGGTCTCACTCCCACCGTGCCCCAACAACGCCAGTGACCAGGGCTGAGAACTTGCCCCAGATCATGTGCCTTCCGCTGAGAAAGCAAGCAGACTAGTAAGTTTTTTGGTATCTCAGGGAGACTGCAGTGGTGACCCAGTTCCTTCAAAGGGTCCGTGGATTCTTTTGGTTTTCCTAGTATGTTCCTGCAGTAGTTCTTGCAGCGAAAGTTCACCATGTGAATCTCCACATGCTGCTCTGTCTGTCTGAGTGGGAGCTGCAAGGTAGTCCCGCCTGCTGTCTGTCATCTTAATCCTAATTGATCTGTATTCTTGACTGTTCAATTTTTGATATTATCTATTAATTTCCTGCTGTGTATTAACAGTTATTCATCTTATTTCCTTTCTTGTACACTTTTTTGTTCTAAATGTAAGAATTGCCTCCCTTTTTTTAGTTGATTATATTTTTCTGTTTACATATCACAAATTTATCCATAGTTTCTCTGTCAGAGCCCTGAAGCATCTTCATTCATCTGTGTGTTCTATTTATTTTTTCTTAGCTTTAGGCCTGCTGCTTAAGGCTGTTGTCTTGGGGCTTCTCTTCAGCATTGTTCTAGAGATTACCTATTGTATTCTTTTATTGTGAATTCCTGTCTTTCTCTTCCTTCCTTTAGTTCTTCAGGTTTCTAGAACACATTTTCCATGGTAGAAAGAGTATATGGGCTGGAACATATTTTGAGATTTGCATGTCTAAGAGTATTTATAATATGTTATTGTATGTGATCAATAATTGGGATGTGTTTAAATACTAGACTAGAAATAGTTTTAGCTCACAGTTTTGAAGGCCTTATTTTATTGCAGCAATTCTCAAAATTTGGTTCCTAGACCGGCAGCATCAGCATCACTTTGGAACTTGTTAAAAGTGCAGATTTTTGAGATCCACCCAAACAAACAGATTCTGATTCAGATACATTGTAGGGGAGGGGACAGTAAGGCCTTGTAATCTCTGTTTTGACAGGTAATTTTGGTATACACTAAAGTCTGAGAACCCCTGTTGTACTCTCTTCTAGAGTTCAGTGTTGCTTTTAGAAAGTCTAATGCTACTTTGATTCCCAGTGTCTTGTATATTACCCCATATTTTTAGGAAGTTAGGAAGCTTTCTTGACCTGTCTGATCTGTGGCTGTTAGTTGTTGATCATGAGTTTTAGAAGTCTGGCTGGAAGACCTGAGTGTGTGGCCTGGGCTCCTTGGCTGCTGAGCATCACTGTAAGGTGATCAAGTATGGACTGGCCATTTTATGGCAACCCCTTAATATTTGCGGGTATTTTGAGGGGATAGGGTGTCAGTCATTTTACTGTAAACGAATCTTTATATCTTTCGCCTAGGATGTGTGCATAGAGGTTGATGGAGATGAGTAGGGGCATAAGCTAGACTTGCAGCATTCTGGGTTATGTTAGAGGTAGTCAGCTCTCAACAGAGGATGGATTCTGAGATCAAACTCTTTGTAATATCGATTATTAAATAATCTTCTGTATTTGGCTTTATTGTTAGCTTCAGAAGTATGTTTACATTTTCTGAACATTTTAGGATTCTGCTTTTTTTTTTTTGACTCTTCTTTGTATAGGCATTTTAGCTTTTGGCTTTTTGCGTTCCGATATGTTAGTTATTACTTTTTAAAATTTTATTGAACTTTGAGGGTGCAGGAGGCTGAGGTAGGAAGATTGCTTGAGCCTAGGAGTTTGAGGCTGCAGTGGGCTCTGTTCAGACTACTGCACTACAGCCTGGGAGACAGAGTGAGACTCTGTCTCTTAAGAAAAGGAAATTATTTTTGAAATTTTTCCTATTTCATACTTTCCTCTTTTGATCTCTGTGCATATGTATCTTTCTTATTTTCTTGGCTTCATTTTAGTAGGGTCCTAGAAGGGATAGAAGATAAATAAATATGTTTACCATTTTTATCCAGAAATGTACATGTTTGAGTGTTTTTAAATATAGAATCCTAGAAGTGGTATAGTTGGGTCAGAGGAAACACTTTTAATTTTAACATTGCTTTTCAAATTAAATTCTAAGTAAAGGTGTTATAATACTGAGTTAATGACAGTTTTAATTGTCATATATTTACTGTAGGATTACATTGTCAGGTGCTGCTGCTGCTTTATAGTTGGTATCTAAAATAGGAATGGCTTTTATAATATTGAGTTATATTTCAGGAATCTGAAGAAAACTGAAGACAGAAAAAGGAAACTAGAGGACCTCCTTAATTCTGTTGGTCAAAAGGTATCAGAACTCAAAGAAAAGTAAGTTATATTTTGAAGCGTATTTAGGATAATGCTGAGAGTGTTTACATTTGACATCTTGGTTTATTTCCTGTTTTGACTTTTAAGATTTTAGACTTTTATGACAGATGATGCTATGGGACCCACTAGTCTATAAACTTTTTAAGGATACATTATTATGTTTAGAAATTCTATCCTTTTAACTTTTTTTCTCCTTTGTGTTAAAAAAAGTCTTCATGCAAATATTATACTCAAGTTAAGGATCATTTTTGAATATTATTATTCTTAAAGCCTTTCATGTATCCTATTTAGTACAGGGTAGAATATATTGGTATGGGAATTATAAATGTTAGAACATTTTCTTTTAAAAGTTGCGAAGATTGAAGAACTGAATAATATCTGATTGAATACAGTATATGTTGAAGTGATGTGTCATGCTTCCTTTTTTTAATGGAAGCAAAATTATTATTGAACCAAGAAATTAATCAGATTAAAACTATGAATTTTTTCTGTATGTTCAGGAAACAATTCTCTCTCTGTCTCTCTGTGTCTCTCCCCCCTCTCTCCCTTCTTCAGTTTCTCTTTCTCTCTCACTAATATATATTTATAGAGAAATACTTACAGAAAAAAGCAAACCAAAAAGAAATCCCCAAACCAATAAACAGTGTTTTCAATATTCTTGAACAATTATTATGTTAGAAATATAGGAAAGAAATCACATCAATTTTTTCCAGGTATCATTATTAGAGAAGTACAAGAAAAATAAGTATAATGTATTATTTTCACTGTCATGTGCTCACAATCAGCACTTAATATTCAGCTAGTGCTCAAATATTTATTGAATAATTAGCTTATTATAGCAATATTTTGACTTCATTTATTAGTCACTTGCTGTGTTAGGTGTTATACTGGGTAATTTATGTATTCGTTTCTTTAATCCTTAAAACAATGATGAGAAGTAAATCTATTTCTGTTTAGCAGATTAGGAAGGTTAAAATTATATAGTCTTTTTTGTCTAAAGTTGAGCAACTAACAAAATACTAAGCCATGTTAGATACTAGATTTGTCTAATTCCATGAAGTTTCTGCTCTTAACCATTGCACCATACTACTATTATTTTGGAAGGATTATTGTGAGAACTTTTGGAATTAACTTTTAATTTTAAGTAAAACAGAATGGCATTTTTCATTGTAGAGTCATTGATGAGAATGAATTAATGTTGGTTACCATGCTGTTACTTATTATGATCCTTAATTAAGGTTTAGTTGACTCTAGGCCATGAATAACAGTCTTATTTTCTTACATATTAACAAAGAATAAAGGGCTTGAAAAATAAGCATGATCTCTCAATTTTTAAATTCTAATTTTACAAAATTAAAGAGATGGTTTCCATTTCTAATACAACTTGTACAGAGATATGAGAGTTGATTTAATGCAACAATATTCATTGCAAAACCATGTTCAAGGTGTAGTATGAAATGTTGTGATCAATAAACATGCAGCTTTCTATTTCCAGGTTTTAGAACAGTGCTGTTTAATGGAATTTCATGAGATTATGGAAATGTTCTGTGCTCTTTGTTATCCAGTATGGTAGCCAGTAGTCTTATGTGGCTACTGAGCACTTGCAGTGTTTGTAATATGACTGAGGAATTGAATTTAAAATTTTATTTATCTTTAGTTAATTTAAATTTAAATAGCCACAAAGTGGCTCGTGGCTATTTGTCTATATTGGAGAAGTTGGTTCTAGAGTCTTATGTCTAGGGAAGGAAGGAAGAAGGCACTTAGAGAGACAATGAAATATACTATAAAGTGCATGCAACTTAGTGCCAGCCACATCTGTATATGAATTTTAGATCCTCTGCTGATTATTGATGAGAACCTGGGTAATAATTTCTTTGGGTTTAAGTTTGCATATGTATAGCATACAATTTATAATACTTAACTTGAATATAGGGAGAGATTATATATAATGTACTAAAATGAATTTTGAAATTTTGTTTGTAGTTTTAGTGGTAAATGTTAGAGGGAGTTGGGCTGTGGGGTGAGGAAGGGTGTGGTTCGAAGCTACTCTAGGCAAATAGAACATTCTGAAGAACACAGGAGATAAAGGATAGGATATTTACTGATAATGTAAAATTCTTCTGATATTGACATATATTAATGGTTTTGCTGATCAGTAATATAATGAAATAAAACTAGAAAGACAGATGGGATGTTTAGAATAGTGTCTTGAATGCCGTATTGGCAAATTTTTATATAATGTAGTAGAGCATGGAGGCCCTGTCAAGTTTTTTGTTGGTGTGTCTCTTCTATTAATGTTACTTTGTATGCAAACATTAATGGTATTGTCATTAATTAAATTATGGCATAAAAGTTTACTTTATTACCTATGGATAATTTCATTAAATCTCTCCTAAATCCTTTTTGCTTTTAATTAAATTTTAACGTTTACATAGATTTCAGAGCAGGACTTCAGAAGCTGCAAAACTTGAAGCTGAAGTAAGCAAAGCACAAGAAACAATCAAAGCTGCAGAAGTCTTAATTAATCAGCTTGATAGAGAACATAAGAGATGGAATGCACAGGTTTGTTTGACAAGGGGCCATGAGGAGTCTACCTTTAAAATCCAGGAAATCTGTAATGTAATGTATGTTAAGAAAAAGGAGAGAAAGATCCATTAATTTGCACCTGGTTCAGGATAAATAATGTAGACATAAATGGCCATTATGTGAATTACTCTTTAAACAAAGTGTCTTTATATGAATAGAGTTTTAGGCGAAGCAGCCTATTTTCCTTTCAGTTCTGTATGTTATTGAGAGATGAGCAGGATGAAAATGAGTGGATGGAAAACTTAGTACTCCTTAGAATTTTCTTTGAATTTACCTTCACCAGGACAGTAATTTTAGGATTTGACACTGTAGGCTATTTATTTTTTCTTGAAATATTTTGTTATTTTGACTTTTTAGTGTTGTCTCTTGTTTTTTCTTGGTTTATTTCTGAAATCAGTTAAGCTTCCTTTCCTTTCCTTTCCTGATCCTCCTCATCTGCTCACCTAGTAATGTTGATTGTCCTTGTTATACTCTTCCACAGCAGCTTTTTCTGCAACTACCTTGGGTGTTATCTCATCCCATCAAAATATCACCTGCACCTTAATAATTACCAGAGCTACATTTCCAGACTACTGAGTGTTAAATGTATATTTCCAACTATATATTAGACATTTGCATTTAATTGTCTCTCAGGAACTCAAATCCAACATGTCTAAATTATTTTCTTTTTCTCATTCCAAGTCTCCTTTATTTTCTATTTCACTAGAGGCGTCTTTCTTTGGGCATCAATACTAAAAATATATGGGTTGTCTTAGACTCTTCCCTGTTTACTTGTCATATCTGTTTGCAAATATTCTTTGTATTTGTCTTCTATCTTTAATGCCAATATTTGTTTGTTTCTCATCTCACTTTTTAAATGTCTTCCTCCTATCTGACCCTTTAATTAGGTCACCCTTCATTTGTCAGCTGAATTATCTTTATAAAACCCAATCTGATTACATTACTCATTGCTTGGTTAAATGCTTTCAATGGCTCACGTCACAGTTTAAAATAGAAACTCCTTTGCGTGTCATGGAAAACCTTTCACAATCTGCCTTTATTTAACTCTATCTCTCTTCTTTTCTTTAATGTAACTACTCTTTCTGCTGAATCTTGTGCTTTATTTACAATAACCTTTTTGCTAATGGGTCTTCATGCCGTAGCTTTGTTTTGTCCCTTTGTTCATTCTCTGTGCCTTAATCTTAGTTTACAAAGTGATGCAAACTCACATTTAACTGTGGTTGGGATGAAAGTTCTGCTTTCTTTAAAATCATTAAGAACTTTCAATGGCTGAATATGTTTGTTTCTACAAATATATTAGGATTTTATACTTTTAAAAATATCACAGCAGAGTCTGAGATCTTTTTGATATTTTTACATTTTGACTATTATATTCAAAACAAGGAGTTATTACTTGTGATTCTTCCCCCCACAATCTAAACCATAAAGCTGTCATTTTCTTTAATGTTAGAACATACTCATATGTCTCCCTCTTTCTTCGCTCTTTTTTTTTCCAGGTTGTAGAGATAACAGAGGAATTAGCTACTCTTCCTAAAAGAGCTCAACTTGCTGCTGCATTTATTACATATCTTTCTGCTGCTCCTGAGTCTCTGAGAAAAACCTGTTTGGGAGAATGGACCAAGTCAGCTGGTCTTGAGAGTTTGTATTTAGTTATTCCTGAATTTGAAATTTCAATATACTAAAAATGGACCCTTTGTTCTCTGTTATTTTACCTTTTTTCAATGGGGGAAATTTTTTATGGATCACAAGTATACCCTGGAGCTACTTTAGATTTGCCACATTCCACAAATGTTCTTGAATTTACTTTATTATTATGATTTTTCTATTCTTAAATCACTGTAAAAAACTGAGACGACTGAATTATTTTTGATATTGCATGGATGCAATTAAACATTATATTACTTTTATTTTTATAATTTATTTGATAGGCTGAGATGTAAGAACTTTTAAATTCCTCATGATTTTAGTGGTATTTTACGAAATTATTTTAGTTTGTGAAACATTCACTCAAAGAAATAGGACTTCATGGAGTTCCATCCTTCTGCACTTTTTGTTTTTGTTTTTGACTTCTTTCTCCTTGGGTTTGGGTGTTAAATGTGGAAGAATGGGTTTCAAGTTAAGGACTGTCGTAGGACTTTTGTTTTGGAATAAATAGCTTTATTTACTTCCCTTTATCAAGTACAAGATCATTGTAGTGAAGTATTTTCAATATCTTCAACTTTTCAGAATTTGATCTGAGGAGATTTCTTTGTACTGAAAGTGAGCAGTTAATTTGGAAAAGTGAAGGCCTACCATCAGATGACCTTTCCATAGAAAATGCTCTTGTAATATTACAGGTAGTTAATTTATTTTAATTTTTTATTAGAAATGTTTTATTGTCAAGCTCGCTGTGGAAATTGTGTTCTTCATATTGTTAGTCTTTCACAGTTACCCTTTTCTTACTAAAATAAAAAAATGTTGCTAATGAAAACCCATTAATGATTCAATTAGTGAATGTATGACTTTCAGTATAATTTATTTTTTACCTTAATATAAAAGTATAAAGTGGCATTCTTTTGAGGGCAAAATGTTCTAAATTGTATTTCCTAATAGTAGTAGAAATATTTTAGGGATACCCAATTCATTGGTTATGTAGTTTCTTCATGAGTACAGACTAGAGTATATGACTTCATAAATTTTATATTTTTATTTCATTTTATTTTGCCAAACAAAATTAGCAAAAAGTGAAGATAAGTTTTTGGCTTATCACTTAGAGATAATCATACACATATTTTGGAAAACTGTTTTGTCACATAGTACAGATTTTCCAAAGCTGTTTAAAATAGAAAATAGCATAACCTTATTATCAGTGAATGTGAAAACCAAATTCAAAGCCATGTACACAAATAAATAATCACTTTGAATAAAGTTTGATTTTTCCCATTAACTTGGTTTACTTTTCTGATATGGAACTTGGAAGACAATTTTTGCTTCTTGATAATGTGATTTTTCTATTCTTTCTGTCAATAGTTTATATTTCATCGTAAGTATTAGTATTCCTTTTCCTCTTTGTAATCCTTCTCTCTGCCTACACACTATTTCCTTATTCTTATTTTTAAACTCCATAGTCTCAAAGAAAGCATGAACATTAAACACACTCCTCTTTATGTAGCATAAACTGTATTATAAGATTCATATTTTAGGTGCTGTTTATTACTTGATAATTTGTTCTGTTTTATTAGACTTATTAATCAGCTGACTATGCTTCAGCTCACTATATTGGTAACTTACCAGTAGAGAAGTTGCTGACCACTAATTGAATAGTTTTGCCTTCTTTTAATTTGATTTTGCCTGTTTTTAAATTTACTTTTTAAAAAATTTTTTGTTAGTTTTACAATGGAATCACAAATATGAAACTCTAAATACTTATATAAGTAAATGTGTTACATTTTGGCAAATTATGTGCTTTTTATTATATTTATTATTCCCTCCCTAAGGTTTCATAGCCACCTCTTTTTCCTCTTTCAATAATCCAAAATAATCCAAAAGCAATTCATTGCAAATTTAAAAAAAAAAAAGTTTAAGAATTCTTTTCTATTCCATAAGAAACAAGGGGAGGGTGGTAAGTCTGTAGACAAAATATGTTTATCAGAATAAATTTTTTACTGATGTTAATTGAAAATGCTTAGTTTTATATTCTGAATTGTCTTTCATGATGGATATGGGAAATTGCTTTTGAAATTAATAATAAGCCTAAATTTACTTTGTATTTAACATTGCTAAGTTCCTTTTAGATAATTACTTGCATTTATATGACAAAAGAAAAATCATTGGAAAGATTTCTTAGGGTAATTAGTTATTTTGTTGAAATGAATTTGCCATTATGGTCAACACTCCATCTCAGTTTTAAGGTGTACTAGATTTCAAATTAGTTGTAGTTTAAGGGTGTGATTGGATAGCATATAATCTGTGACATCAACTCATTAACATCACCATGTATGTAAAATTAAATCTCTAAATATATATTAGTTGGGCTTCTGGGAAAAGATGGCTAGACATGGTAAGTCAGATGCATTTGTGATTCAGAGGTATAATACATCTCCTCATTAACTGTGCTAAAGCTGGCCTGGCGTAGTGGCTCATGCTTGTAATCCCAGCACTTTGGGAGGCCGAGGTGGGTGGATCATCTGAGGTCAGAAGTTCGAGACCAGTTTGGCCAACATGGTCTCTACTAGAAATATAAAAATTAGCTGGGCATTGTGGCATGCACCTGTAGCTCCAGCTACTCAGAAGGCTGAGGCGGGAGAATCGCTTGAACCCGGGAGGCAGACGTTGCAGTGAGTCGAGATCATGTCACTGCATATTCCAGCCTGGATGACAGAGTGAGACTTCTCAAAACACACATACACGCGCGCACACACACACACACACACACACACACACAATAATGCTAAAGCTTTTCTGAGGTTCTCCCTCTCAGTGGAGGAGCCTTTCTCTGAGGCCTGTGGTTACTCAACAATTTCATTGATGCTAAGAAAGGCTTTTGTGTCTAAAACTATTCTTTTATTGGTCTTACAAGGATGCTTAAAATTGTCGTATTTAGGTTACGCTAACTATTGAAGTGCATGTATTGCCAGAGAGAGTAATTAGTCAAATCCTTTTATACCCTTGGTCTTACCACAGGAATTAGTTTTACTATGTTGGCAGAAAGCTCATATGACCTGTTGCTTTGAGGGACAGGGAAAAATTTGGCCATAGTGATCATATATCCTGGATTGCTTGGTCTATGGTTTGCACTTGTCCTGATACAATTATTAATAGTTTTCCTTTCACTTTCAACAGTGTTGTGGTTTGAGTGATAAATTATATGATCTAATATTGGCCAACTCAGTGGATAATGGAAAGTATAAGGCTATTAGAAACTATGGAGAAGGTGTGAATGAAAAGCATCCAGAACGGAGGTGGAGAAGATGACTAATTTAAATATCAGATTTTATATGGGTTTTTCTTGTGAAGACATCTGTTGAATGTTTGTGTTTTATTGTTATAGACAGTTCAGTGTCAAATTGGGTTTAACTCAAAATTTCTGAGATATTTTTTCTTGCTGCCTTTTGATATATGCTAAGGAAATGCAAACTAATGTGATACTAGTCTAAGAATATAAAATTATGATGATAAAATTTATTACTTCAAAGTTAACTTCCCCACATAGGAAAAAGTTTTTCAATCCTCACATAAGTAATAATAATAATCAATACTTGTGTAGTACTTATCATGTTGTACATATATTACTATTTAGGAATAAATAGGTAAAGCACTTGAACACATAACTCATGTAATTCTCAAATCAACCCAATCTATTAGATACATGTGTTATCCCCTTTATAGATAAGGAAATTGAGGCACAGAAGAGTTAATTCACTTACCTAAGGTCACATGGCTGTCAAGTGGTAGAGCCAGGATTCAAACCCAGGCCATCTAGCTGCTGTCTATACACTTCTCATAGGAGTATGTGTGTTTAACCTTATTTATTTTATATTATTCTTGTTAATGTAACTCTCCTTAGTGAATCAAGAGATAGGCTTAATTTCATTTATAAAATGTTTTTGCTTTTATCCCATTTATAAGTATTAAAAATAGACATAACATTGTAGAGTATACTAGGTGTTTTAAAAATTATCTCTTTCAAAAATATCCTTTGCCTAATCTTTTTTCCCTCCAAGGAGAGAAGAATTTAAATAGAGACTGTGTATCTTGAGTTTTTAACCTGTCTTCTGAACTATTGACCTATAGCTCTAACTACCTGTTGGATACTTTTACCTGAGCTTCCTAGGCAGCTCAAAATGTATCATCCTTTAACTAAATTCACCATTGTTTATTTTCTTTAAGTTAAGAATCTTCCAGTGGCCAATTGTAGCACATTTAAAGGAAAAAACTAGCAATTTATGCTTTTAAATACCTGAGATGCCTAAAAGATTGGGGTGAGCTTCTGAATTAAAGTAATTTTTACCAGGAGATCTCTGCCTTCATTTTATGAGATGGGTTCATTCTCAGATAGGGTCTGTTTACCCTTTGTTAGCCTTGACAGTTGGTGACTCCATGTTTACCTTTATTAGATTTTATGTTTCTAGACTAAAGATGTGTCATTCACTCCCTCTGCACCACAGATAATATGCAAGTCTCCCAAAAGGATTCTGATTGGTTAACTTAGACCATCTGCTCATATTGATAACCCATCAGAAATACATTTAGTGGGACAAGCAGGGTAGGCAAGGTAGCTCTCTACTATAAAACTCATTTTTCTTCCCCTCTCACTCCCTAGAACCTGCTTCTCTTATTTTCTACCACCAGAGATATCACAGTCTTTTCTTGGTAATACAAGCTACAACCCTGTACATCATTCTTAATATGCCTTTTTGATTTTTCATTCAGTTAATTATTCAACTAATCTTGTCAAATCTATTTCTCAAATGTCTCATGAATTCATCTTGTTTTAATCATGTCTGCTGCCAGTGACTTCATTTATGCTTTCATCATTTTGTGTCTGGATAAATATGTCATTATACCAGCTGGTTCCTTGTTTCCAGTACCACTTCCTTTACTGTTGTTGGAGTGATTTTCTAAAACATTAATCTGATCATAATATTGCCTCAATTAATGTATTTTAGTGATTTCCCATTGCCTGTAGTATAAAAATTTCATTATCCTTAGACATGGCATAAAAAGCTGATCATGATCAGACAGACTCCAGATTACTCCTGCCATTTTATATGCATCATCTTTGCCCATATTTATTTTTCTCTAGCTATACCAGAGTACTGTAAGTTTTCCAAATACTCCAAACTTTTTTGTTCCCCTCTATATCATGCTGTTGTTTTTGCCTGAAATATTTTTCTTTCTTCACTTCTTTTCCTAGCTAATCTCTCTTGGCTTAGTTTGACTTGAATTGTTTTCTAGGCATAACTTCACCTATCATCCTTCAGTAGCAACTTGTGGCACCTTTTAATGATGAAATTTTTATTTTTGTATCTTTATTACATGTAAAGTTATTGAGGTTAAGGGAATGTATTTTATTGATTTCTGTACTCCTTGTACTATCTTACTATAGTTGTTATCCAACATAGAGATGAATTAATGAACAAATGAAGAATAAATGAATGAAAGGTCAACATCTTTGGATTGAGTATAGTTGTAGAATTTAACTATATTTAATCATGGAATACAGAGATAAAATGTACCATAGAAATCTTATCTAAATCTGTCTGGAGACATATAAATAAGACGACAACAAACTTGTAAGTACCCTTTGAAAAACTTAAGCATGTTTTCTTTGCTAAAAACATTTTGAAACATTACCTTTCTTCTTTTCATTTAACTGCATCAGATCATTGGTTTGAAATCATGGGTAAGAACTTTTTAAAAATTTAAAATAATTAGTTTTGTAGTTAGGCAAAATGCAGAATTGTGAAATGTTTGCTATTGAATGCTAGCATTAAATTAGATCAAAAACCTAGGTGCAGCACCATGGTAACACTTCACAGGCTATTTGCTAACTACGTCATTGTGCTTCGAGTAGTACATTTACATGATGGAGCAGTAAGTGAAACCTCTGGTAATAGATGCTGGGTGATGATCATACAGTGTAACATGGCAGGAGGTATGATAGGAGCAGTCTACTGTGGGTGCAAGTGACAATAAGGTACCTTGTTTGTGGAGAATTTTAAAATAATAATAAAGCTGTTTTAAAGTCGTTCATATCTTTATTATCACCATGTGCTAGCAATTCTAAACAACATTGGTGATATAAAACTATTTGTCCACAGGGCAGATAATCCCCACTATCTCCCTCGCTCTTGGTGTGCACTGAGATAGCATGTATGCTCTTATTAGATATACAGCGTCCCCCCCTTTTCTCCTGGGGATGTGTTCCAAGACCCTCAGTGGATGCCTGAAAGTTCAGGTAGTACCGAACCCATATATATGTATATACACACACACACACACACATATACACACACACAGAATTATACATTTTTATAACACACATACATACTGTGTTACACATACATGCATGTATATACATACATACTATGTTTTTTCCTAAACATACATACTATAATAAAGTTCAATGTATAAGTTATACACAGTAAAACATTAACAACAACAATGATAAAATAGAATAACTATAACAGTATACTGTAATAAAAGTTAAGTGAATGTAGTTTTTCTTTCTGCCTGTCAAAATAACGTATTGTACTGTACTCACCTATTTTTGGACTGGTTGACCATGGGTAACTGAAACTATGAAAAGAAATTATTGATAAGGGGGATTGCTGTACCCCATTCTAAGTTTTCATCGTACTCTGACTTTCATATATGTTCTCTTATTCTTACAGCACACAATTCTATTACATTTTTCAAATAAATGTGAAAACTTAAGAAAAATTAGATCGGTTTAAATTTTACTAGGTAGGAATGATTGTTAGATGACTTTTAAATTTATCATTTATGATACATATTTTATACATATGTAACTGACTTTCTTCTGTCTACTAAGTACCATTGTGTGTGGAGGGCATTTTTACTGGTATCTAATTCCCTTTTTTTTTTTTTGAGATGGAGTCTCACTCTGTTGCCAGGCTGGAGTTCAGTGGCACGATCTTGGCTCACTGCAGCCTCCGCCTCCAGGGTTCAAGTGATTCTCCTGCCTCAGCCTCCCGAGTAGCTGAGACTACAGTCACGTGCCACTACACCTGACTAATTTTTGTATTTTAAATAGAGACAGGGTTTCACTGTGTTGGCCAGGATGGTCTTGATCTGTTGACCTCGTGATCCATCCGCTTCAGCCTCCCAAAGTGCTGGAATTACAGGCTTGAGCCACTGCACCAGGCCTAACTTCCTTTTTTTTTAGAATTTAATTAGTGCAGGATGTTCTGTAATGAATTTAGTTTTTAGTTCATTCATTAGATCTTAACCTATAGTCCATGTAATTTTCTCTTCAAGAGTACTCCTTTAGTAATATTAGATATGTACTGCTTTAGAAGAATTAATGTCTTAAAATGTAAGCAATTATGTTGATAATTAGCAGTATTTTAATGATTTGCTCATATTTCTTTTTATGGCCTTTATAGTTTTTACTCAAAAAACCAATATATATGTATACTCTCTCTCTCTCTCTCTCTCTATATATATATATAGAGAGAGAGAGAGAGAGAGATAGATAGATAGATAGATAGATAGGGAATAATTTGTGTATTTTAAAAGCCAGAAACAGTGGTGCAAATGACATCAGCTTGAGACTAAAGCTCTTGCTTAGCATAATGTTAGTACACATTTTCTGTGTTATTTTTTGTTAAGTAGGACTGTACTCTCTATACTCTGGCTAAATGTGATTACCTAATATTAACTCCTGGTCACTGAAAATTTATTAATATGGCTTCTGATGCAGTTAAAAACTGTATTTTTGGTTTTTTTTCATGGTTATATATTTGTGTTCTCCAAAGCTTAAGAGAAAAGATCATTTAGTAATTGATTTATAATTTCTAGAAAACGATTTCCATTTAAATGAAAGCTTATAATCATTAAAAAACATGACTTTTCCTTTTTTTTGAACTAGAGTCGAGTGTGCCCATTTCTTATAGATCCTTCTTCCCAAGCTACAGAGTGGTTAAAAACACATTTGAAAGACTCACGTTTAGAAGTTATCAATCAGCAGGTATGTATTACTTATAATTTACATCCGATTAGAAATGACCTCTTATAGTGCAAAGATCTTTAAATCTATAATCAGAAAACATAGATTAAACACTGGGTCCTGTTGTGTGGGACCTGGGGTGAGAGAGAGAACGCTTAGCTTCAGTTTTCTACTTTGTAAAACAAAGATAAGAATATTTATTTGATTCTGGGTATTGATCTAAGCCCTGGGAATTTAATAGTGAGTTCTTTCCCTTATGAAGATGACAGTCTAGTAGGTTAGAGAAACAATTAAATAAGCTTTACAGTAAGTTATGACTAATGACATAAGTATAAGAGGCTGTAGAAGTAGGAGCTTCTAAGTTAGCTTTGAGACTCAGAAAAGCCTTCTAGCCTTTTAGCATATTTACAGTTCCTCTGAATGCTTCTCATAATTTCCAATTTCTTTAAATCATTGACAGACATCTTTAATGTATCCCAAGATTTGATAATTGTTCAGTGAAATGTAATCATAGTCTTTTGGGTAGTGACTTCTCAGTTTCATGTTTATCTTGCAG